TGTTATTGTTAATTGTAAGAAATTAACGCTCTAAAGAAATTTCTTACAATTAACAACAAGAAGTAAAAAACAAAAACAAATCTATTTCCATACCTGAAGATGTCCGTATGCACAGATGAAAGCTTGTAAAAAAAACTAAAAAAAGACCATATGCAACTGGAATTTATAAACAGGGATCAATATAACGGAAATATACAGGTTCAATCTTAATGTAATTTATTAAATTGTTTGCGAAGATGTATTCTCGCCATTTAAATCATTAACTTCTATATCTGTTTTTGTATGAATGATTTATATATATATATATATATATATATATATATATATATATATATATATATATTGAACAATAACAATAAAAATTAGAAAATTAAAATCTTCAGACACACTGGGTTGTATATTAATATTCTTTCGTTTTTTTATTATTATTATTTCATTTAGATTCCTCGACTAGTTTCGGCCAACATGGCCATCATCAGGAGAAAAAAATCTGCTTGCTGGTAGCAGTGAACTACAGAAATGAATGTCTTGATGGAGAAAATGAACTTTTGTCTGTAGTTTTCATTTGTTTGATTTTTTTTTAACATGAATTTTGGTCAGCCTTGTGTTGGTCAGTCTCTTTTAAGTTGTTATTTGAGATAAGAGCTGGACGGATTCCTGCTGCTTTGAACTCCCAGGTCATTTTGACAGTTTTATTGGTTCCTCGAAAGGGTATATATATATATATATATATATATATATATATATATATATATATATATATATATATATATAGTCTGATTGTTGCATTGAGGCTTAAGTCATCATAAAATATTCATCTATCTGTACACATGCGATGTGTGTTCGTGTGTTCGTGCGAGTATGTGTGTGTTCACATAGATATGTTCTGTCCAGTATCGGCAATTGTTTTTACTTAACGCATTTTTCAGTCACAGATTTTTTTTTACTTGCCTTTTTAAAGCGAACGGAAATTCTGTTTCAGTGAAGCTTTGTAATGAGTTTGCAATGAGAAATATAATCTGTAGATTATTTAAAAAAAGGAAATCTTCGTCGACTTATATAAAGAATTTTGTATTTAAAATCTTTCAAAACTTTTAAGATATGGCCATTAAAAAAGAAAAACTACTGGTTACATCAGTTTGACGCCATTTTGAATTTATTTTGAAGATAATTTTGTGAAATTTTCGAAGGTCTGCTTAGAGATCTTTAACATCTTTACGGTGCAATCTTGTAAAAAAAGTAAGTCATTGCTTGCCACAGAATACGGTATGCAAAGCTCAACCATGAACAGAAACGCAATTTATGTCTCCAGTAAGATGGTAAAAAAGTAGCAACAATCTGCATAATTCTCTTTTCACAATACCATGTAGAATAGAAATCACTTCATCTAAATAATATGATATTATGAAATATTTATAATTTATTTATTTCATTTTATTTCGGATTCTATTTTGTAAAAACGTTCGCAATAACACTGAATCATTTCCCCGTAGAATTTGCCGGGCGTCATATAATTATAACAACACCTGCGTCCTTTGCTGCAAAATTTTAGCAACCGCCTTATTTCGATTTCGAGCGAGTCCCTTCGTAAATCGGAATTGAAAAAGAACGTCTAAAAATCAATCAGTTTAATTCTGCTTCCTTTAGATAAATAGTTCAACACCCAGCGGCAATAGCCTGTTTGATGCTTAAACGGAAACGTCAGGCGGTTTAAGCATGGAACACATTGTCGCTGCTGGAGTTGACCTTAATCTCCACTTTTACACATGCATACGCTCTATCCCTTATACTAAGCATGATAACTACCCGTCAATTATGTGTCATGCGTGATACACGCTGAGGCGATCAGGTATCTTTCAATATATGACTGACGAGGAAGTTTTTTTTTCCCGCAATAGGTTATCATTTCTTTCTGCAGTAGACCAGTTGGCATCCAAGGCTATAGAAGGAGGGAGAAGAGGAGAATTCATACCTTTCCCAAGGGTATTAGTGAATGTAATGGTTTCGACTGGAATTCGAACTCGGCTTTCCGATTCCTCAATCCATTACTCCAAAGTGCCTCCTAACTCATAACTATAGCATACTTTAAATATCATATATACTCGGTGTTAAAGTCGGGTAAGAGTAAAATTGTCCATTTGTTAGATTAACCTCTAAAACGTTGCATCTTAGAAATGATTAAAGATATCTTACTGGAATTCTTCGATGCTTTTATAACACTACTGGGCTCTACTTTGAACAATAAGAATGTATAATTACTCTCTAATCTTAACAGAAGAATCGTGATGAAATCAATCATTATCAAAAATGGTATGTTCATCATTAATTATTCATAGATAAAGATCGGAAGTTCATGAAGGATTGAAATAAAGTCCATATATATATATATATATATATATATATATATATATATATATATATTATTCCAGGATCATTTTCCAACTTAATAAAAACGATCTCCACCCCTCTAACCTTCCAATTTTCTGTGCTGGAATAACAAGTTGCCTCACAGGTTTCACGTATGATTTCATTTTCAAGCTTTTTTTTACTGCTCTTTGGACTGTCATAGCTGAAACTACTCTCTTACGTGTCAAACGTCTTATGAATTGAGTTGGATCTTTTCAAATTGATCTCGTTAGCTCTATGTTGAAATGATGATCCCTCTTCCTTTTTCGACCTCCTGCTCCAGTTTTCCTCTATAATGTTCCCTCTTTTTTTTAAAACTTATTCACCGTTTTCTTGAAGGTTCTTCAATGGACTTTGAAGATGGAAGCCAGTGTATGAATGTTGGTATCATTACTGAAGGCTAGAATAATCGTTTCCCTCTCACCATTGCTCAGTTGAGAAGACAGTGGGTCTGACCCAAACGATTTTGACCTGTTCTCTTTCTAGCTGAATAGCTCAAAGGATTTTAAGTGATTCTTACGACAAATGGTGTCAAGATGGCTGAACGCCATATCTGAAAACCTATAAAAAGAAACTTGTTTTAGATATGAAACATTTTATGGTAAACTGTTGTGGTGTTACATGATTTGGACAATTTTGCTGTTACACCCGGTATAGTAGGAGCACCAGGCCGGATATAGGAGTAATATGCAATGCCCTTACGAATGACAGATTGATTCAAACGAGTCTAAGAGAAGAACTCTAAATTTGAAAGCCGTAGCAAAAGCACCAGTAAACCAATCCATTTTATATTTCAAAAAGTCATGCATTGTTACTTCCTTTGCATCAATGTGAGAGCGAAAAGCGGAACTGGTGATAGCATAAACAGGAAATGCATCCGGCGGTTAAAATAAGCAGGGCACACTGGTGTCCTGAGCCTTGAATAAACAGGGCGCACAGGTGTCCTGAGAGGAAGGAAATGCCTGCTTGTGTGGCCGACATACTGGAAGAAGGCGTAGCCACGTGAACTTGCATAGGTGTCTAAATGTTATTTAACCGGTCCGATTCTTGATTTGGATAGAGAGATTCGATGGAAGTTCACCGAACATTTGTTCCCGTCAATTCCAGTGATTCTGTAGTTCTCCCTCACTCTAGCCATTCGTCGCAACTCGAACAATAAAGATATATGTGTTTGGCGCCTCATTTGAGCCCGGCAGCAATGTGCAATAATTTCAAGCTTTTTGATTCTAAGTATGTAACCTTACCGAGTCCATTTTCCTTAAAAATTCGTCGTTGCTCATATCAATAGTCCATGATATTGTCAGCCTCCTTCTATAGAACCACATTTCTCTTGCTTCAAGTATTTTCTTCATCTGTGAGGACATTGTACAGCAGTCACTGTCATATAGGAAGACTGATATTTCATAACAGTCTAGTACTTGTTGTTTCGAACGAAGTTTTCCTGTTTCTTAATACTTTGCTTAACTTTTTGGGTGACATCTTTCACTATTCCAATATGCCGTCGGACTTTTCTGTCACCTTTTGTGTACACTATTAAATCACTTCCTAGATATTTAACCATTTCTATTGCTTGATTATAGTGTATAGAATTCGTAGTTCGTATAATAGGCTTCTCCTTTTGCTGACAACCATATATTGTGTCTTTTAATTTCATCTTGATGGCATTACTATAATGGTTGAATAAGTCCGGTGAGACGTCACATCCTTGTCTTACGCCCCTTTCTATTTCATTGTCTAACCACATGCGGACGGTTTGCTCAAAGTATAAGTTCTGGATTGTTCCAATAGCCGAATGTAAATCAGTCAGTGATGTGCCAGGCGTGATACACGCGTAGGAGATCATGTATCTTTCGATACATGACTGACGAGGCAGATTTTTCCCGCATAGGTTGCCATTTCTTTTTGCAGCAGACCAGTTGCCATGCAAGGCTATAGAACCGGTCTGTCCTGCTATTTACATGTAGCTGGGGAGAGAAGAAGAGCATTCACTTATAAGAAGAGGATTCACGTGCTAATATCATGGATAGTGGCTCGGATTGAGGGATCGGAGAGCCGAGTTCGAATTCCAGTTGAATACATTACATTCACTTACGTGCTAATACTCTTGGGAAATGGCTATGGAAAACGTGCTAATATCCTTTCGGGCTAAGGGTATGAGCACGTATAGTGAATGTAATGGATTCGACCGGAATTCAAACTCGGCTCTCCGATTTCTCAATCCAAGCAGCTATCTATTACTCCTCCGGGAAAATCTAGAAGAGGATTCATACTTTTTCCAAGGGTATTAGCACGAAAGTGAATGTAATGGATTCGACTGGAATTCGAACTCGACTCTCCGATTCCTCAATTCGAGCCGCTATCCATTACTCTACCGTGTCTCCTCTAATGTAAATACTCCTCCTGAATGTAAATTCTGTAAATAATAATAACCCAGAAATTTTGGCAAGAAGTAGAAAGATATTCTTCTGAATAATTCAACGGATTTGTTTTCTTTTAGAAGTGAAACTAATTTCCATATCAGAAGTGCTGCATAGTTTTTCTTAAATTTTCATGAGGTGAAATAATGGTGGGTAAGATAAAGCGTCTTCGACATAATGCAATCTAATCCGACAAATATGCAGCTTTCTTTCCTCTTTGGATATATGCAGTTGTCTCTCCGGCTTCCCTACGATCTGGCAATGCAGCAGAACGTGACAAGATATTTTTAGGTTTATCAATAAGAATTCCTATCGCGCAAACGCTGATATACCTGGAACTTAGTATCTACTCGTCTTGTTTGATCAGATTTATTGAATATTTCGAAGGCAACATTTCTTTGCTTTGTAATGTACGCTGGAGTCATGGCGGCTTGTATTGAGGAACCGAGTTCTAATTCCAGTCGAGTTTGTTACATTCATTTACATGCTGATACGCTTAAGAAAGGTATGAATCGATTTCTTCACCATTCAGCTATGGGTAGAAGGCAAGAAAGTCTGGATATTATAGCGTTATATTGCACCCGGTGTTCGAGAAAGACAACACTGAATTCTAAAACACAACAATGGATTATATATCCTTAATAAAGCACAGAAGCCCAAGCGTGTTCAGTACATCTACACCACTGAAAACATTATCAATTAGGGTGGTGTTCTTCCAATAGAGCGATTAGGTCTGGGTATATATATATATATATATATATATATATATATATATATATATATATATATATATATATATATATATATATATATATATATATATATATATATATATATATATTCATCTAAACAAGTTGATTAAAAAGAATCGACGAGGTCTGTCTGTTTAACTTTTTATTGTACTTTTCCAATTTTTATCATTAATATATATATATATATATATATATATATATATATATATATATAAAAATATAATTAAACGGTATAGTATTTTTATGAGTAAAATTGCTGAATATTAGGGTTAGAGTGTGTGTATCTTAGAGTGGACACTAGGGCAAACTCCCTTCAAGCATGTAGCATACTATTGGCATTCGATATTTTCTCAGTGCTCACTCCCCCACACACACACACACACACACACACACACACACACACACACACATATATATATATATATATATATATATATATATATATATATATATATATATATATATATATATATATATTTATTTATTCGAAAATTATAACATAAATATACATAAGTGATTTTATAACATATTTATGTCATAATTTTCGGATAAATAATTATATTTGCTCTACGCTGTATTGATCACTCTTTTTATGAATAGTGTTTTTTTTGTTATTGCAATTTACTCTGATACACCAATCTTATATATATATCTACACACACACAAACATATATATATATATATATATATATATATATATATATATATATATATATATATATATATATGAAAATATATAGTTTTTAAGGTGTGCTATATTTATGGGATAAAGTGCTCAATATCGAGGATAGAGCGTATGTAAATATAAAGTGAACATGTATATATATATATATATATATATATATATATATATATGTGTGTGTGTGTGTGTGTGTGTTTGTGTGTGTGTGAACGCTGAAGTCAGCACTCAGAGGCGACAGGCTGTTTCATGGTAGACGCTGCTTGACTATTGCGTCTGGCATGAAACAGCCTGTCGCCCTGAATGTTGACTTTAATGTTCACTTTTATATTTATATTTTCTTACGACTATACGTTTACATTTTTTTATTTTTACATTTATATTTACTTACAACTATATTTCTTCATGTATCTATCTATCTATCTATCTGTGTATCTATATACATATATATATATGTGTGTGTGTATTTTCTGAACCAATTTCTGTTGAGAATAGTGTGAAGCAGGGCGATATACCTGCATCTAGTTTATTTTCCATTTATTTTGCAGAGATGCTTTACATATGCCTTTAGAAACTGTAGCATTGGTGTTTATTTGCGTTTTCGAACTACCAGCAAAGTTTTTGACCGGCGTCGATTGAAACACCAATTTGCTGAAACACCTTCCGCAAATGTGTTTCAGCAAATTATTCATGAGCTTCTTTATGCTGATCATGTCGACCTCTTTGGCTCATACAATCCAGC